GGGACTGGATGGAAGAAGCAGAGAGGTGGTCAGTGCATGACATGGTGTCGTGGCATGAAAGAAAGCTGCAAAGGACTGGCTTCTGTTGGTTCTTCACGACTCCCTGGTTGGGGTCTGAGAGATGGTGCTACACAGTGGCTAGAGACGTTATCAGATATGGCTCAGAATAGAAGCCAGTGGCGATCCTGCTGTAACCTTCTTTTACTTTCTTCATAAAAAGTGGTTCTGTCTCCCTTACCTGAAAGATTTCTTCCGATTGTACCTTTGCGTTCCCTGATTACTAGCACATTACCTTACACCAATCTCTTCGTTATTGTCCTCTCTTTTTTTTGTTGCGCTCCTTAGCTTTTTCTTTCTTTCTTTGTATTCCTCTCGAATTTTCATTGTTTTGTGTGGCGCATATATATTGGCGCTCCCCTGTACCAATATTCATGTGTCCAAATAAAAAAAAAATAAATAAATAAACACATATCGAATGAGATTTGTGTAGCGCACATGTATTTGGTGCCTTCTTGTACCAATATCTATGTGTTAACATAATAAATAAATGAATAATAATTTATGGACGACCTTTGAGCGGCGTTAAAGTGACATTGAGAATCCCCACCAACTTACTGGAGCCAAATGGGGATTATGAAGCAGTTTGAAAAATAAGGATTATGATTTACAATTGATGGTTTTGGCTAGGAATTAGATTTATGCTTTTCATCATGAACTGACATCATCTAAAATGCCAAAACTCTATTTAGCTAAACAGATTAATGATTTTCACGTCGAAATCCAAGACCTGTCATCCTAAATCTGATTGGTTTGTCCATAGATTATAGTCTCGCCGTTTTCTTCTTGTTGACCCGCAAATGTGGGAATAGCTTCAATTTGCAGATAAAAAAGTATTACGTTCATAGTCGTGCCGAAACAAAAAATCGAATTTTTCAGGATAATAAATCGAAGGTGTCTTCTCGATCTCATGTTAACTTGTCGTCGATAACAGTTGTACTGTAAAAAGTCAGTCTGGCAACCAATTTTGTTTGTGAGATACAAAATGTAAAGATTGGTATAGGTTATTCGTGGGCTAATAACACCAGCTCAGCAATAGTTGAAATACATATTGGTTAGGATTGTGCGCGATGATTGAGAGCATTAGTAGTTAATAGAACAGAAAATGTAGCAAAGGTATTATTAAAAATAGTCTACAGTTATTTGAAATCATAAAACAAATTTGATCTACGAAATTGACAGTGATATTAAAAAAATAACTTTACTCTCATACCTTACTTTTTTCTGTTGTGCTTAAGGTCGTTTTTGTCTTATATATTAGACGAAGCAACTGTACTGGACCTTTTTAGTGGACCAAAATATCATGTTCACCGCTAGACTTATGTATCATGAATTTGATCCAGTGTAAGATCGTAAATATTCATTTCTTCGTAGCTCGAAAACTAGGAAGAAACAGTTTTTCAGAATGTTCTGATTTTAATAGTCCCTCCATCAGTTTATGACAAGAGATAAGTCCCCTTTAAAATAAACTTGGATTTCCATAACCCAATCTAACTTGAATAATATTTGCTTAGTTACTTTTCTTTAAACTGAACTAATTCTTTAGTAGTTTTGTTTACAAATTATGGTTCGGTTTTTTCCTCATTTGATTTTTGTAGGATCAAGCTACTAACTATATCAAATATCATGATATTGGTATAAATCTTCATGAAAGATTATACAAATTTCTGGTCGATTTTGCCAAGCTACAAAAGGAAGCATTTATTGCACAAAAGTAAACTTGTCTATGCATACCATGTTAAATTTTTGTTTTTCTGTTGTCCAGGCGATTATGTGAAAAACATTTGTCTGATGCACAGAAGTATTTTGGTGTTTCTAATAGCTATGTTTCATTTTTTAATGAACTTGTTCAAATTGTTCAGCATATCGTAGATGCTGAAAACTTAATTTCATGCTCCTTCGAAATACACGCTGGTAGCGAAGGTAAATCGATTATTGAAGATGAAAGAAGACAATTGAAACGATGGAAAAATGAAAGGTTAGATACATTCATTTTGTTATTTTACTATTTTGCTTTATCTTGTGATCGATAATAATGACAATGTTAACACTAGTAGTAATATAAAAATAACTTGCGTCACTAGTTATTTATTAATTTATTTGAACACATAAATATTGGTACAAAGAGGCACCAAATACATATGCGCCACACAAAATTTCATTTAATTTGCGTGAGGGCCGTAATACTGTCCGGGTGTCCAGACCGAAGCAAGTGGTTTTCTTAAGGGGCCACACAAAAAGCCTTTGATTTAAAGGTCTAATCCACAAGGCAGTGGGTCAACGTCAGGAGATGCAGTTTCATGGTAGCCGGTGATCGACAATTGGTTCATACGCCATTTGTTCCTTAAGGATCCTGGAGCCCTTGTCCACCACTGGTTTGGGATCAGGGTTTTCCAACTCCCCCCGGGTGGACCCTCTGTACCCTCCAATTTCATAAGCAACATCCCCGCTGCGAGTAAGCAATGAATAGGACTTTCCTGGAAGTGGCTGTATATGAGTGGCCATGTAAGAGCATTTCGAGGAGAGCGGACTCTCCACACCCCCAACCGTACCAGGGCATCTGGGGGCACACTCGTATCTGCTGAAACAGTGGACGCTGAACAACTCATTTTCGCCTGGAATATCTCAGTAGATAATACTAATTTTTCTTAAACAGGATCGAATTCAAAACCCATAGTCTTCATGGTATCTGGAAATCAAGTAGTTTTCATTTTCAACTTCAGTCGATTCCCAATGTAGCGTAGTGATTGTTAGCAAGGAAAGTTTAAGATTAAATAATGGTGGAATGCGGTTTTTGCTTGGCTAGATTTCGTATTAATGCGGGACAACTTTCATTGTATTAATTAATAAGCAAATAATTCAGCGTGATATCCATTTATTTGACTTGTTATACTGATGGAAATTCATGATAAAAGTGATTCAGGAATAATATACTGAATACATGTAAAATTGAAATGAAACTAATGTCTTACTGAACAAAGATACTTAGTTGAAACCAATGCTGAATATTTTTTTTCTTAAAATGTGATTATATTCTATAAATAGTCGGAGAAAATCGATTTCACATGTCACCCGTCCTCTAGTTAATTAAGACATTGCTCATATCAGTTTTCGTGTCAATTTAGTATAATCTATTCACGACGATGGCCATCTGTATGAAATCGATGTGAAATTCTTTGACAGCTAATCACTGCAATAAAGTCTGTAGACATATAAATTCATTTGTATCATTTATTTATTTGAAATATAAGCGTTTGTACAAATATGCACCAAAATACTATATGCCACACCAGTGAGTGAAGTTGTCAAAACATGGACGAAGGAAGGTGAATCTAATAAAAACAGTAGTTATATGGATAAAAAAGTAAGTAGATGAAAGTAGTATACTATGAGCTCTATTAACAAATCTGGACAGATTTTTGATTCTGTCTCTAGTTAGTAGACCGAAAAGAATATAATAAGTAGTTCCCGTTCGTGATCATTAAAGTAAAAGTCGGTAAATATTCGCTTAGCGCTCAGAAGTATCAATGATCTCGTATCATCGATGACTCCGATTTATTCAGTATACTTTGGTTAGCATTGCCCCCAATTTCCCTGGCATGGTCGAGGGTGTGGAGAGTCCGCTCTCCTCGAAATGCTCTTACATGGCCACTCATATACAGCCACTTCCAGGAAAGTCCTATTCATTGCTTACTCGCAGCGGGGATGTTGCTTATGAAATTGGAGGGTACAGAGGGTCCACCCGGGGGGAGTTGGAAAACCCTGATCCCAAACCAGTGGTGGACAAGGGCTCCAGGATCCTTAAGGAACAAATGGCGTATGAACCAATTGTCGATCACCGGCTACCATGAAACTGCATCTCCTGACGTTGACCCACTGCCTTGTGGATTAGACCTTTAAATCAAAGGCTTTTTGTGTGGCCCCTTAAGAAAACCACTTGCTTCGGTCTGGACACCCGGACAGTATTACGGCCCTCACGCAAATTAAATGAAATTTTGTGTGGCGCATATGTATTTGGTGCCTCTTTGTACCAATATTTATGTGTTCAAATAAATAAAACTCTCAAGGCAGTGTAGCCCTGAGACATGATCTAACCACCACAAAGCACTCAGAAAACAATAGTATTCATAATAATTATGCGTTTCTTATAGATCAAAATTATCAAATGAACTAAAATCTCAAACACGTATTATCGATGATGAAATTAAACGATATCGAGATAAATATCGTGATATGATCAAGGCTAAAGAAGACTATGAACGCATCAACGCTGATCAGAGTCATTCACAATTTGATGTCGAAAAGGTTAGTAATGAACTTATTAATTTTTATTGTTTTAAAGGTTTATATTTGAGTTGAATTTGCCTATTTCCTAATTTGGGCACAGGGTTTTCAAAGAAATGATGTAAATGATGTTAATAAGATTTTGTTTGTGTTTGTGTCTTAACTGCTACAAATAGAAAATATTTTGTAGGCAGTTATGCTTCGCTTTCTATGTGATAGAAATTGACATATCTAAAATACTGGCTATCTCTTTTCTACAAATGGATTAATTGACTTATACGCAGTAGTTAGACTTCGCTGCTGTGAACTCTAAGTGATATACTTCAAGAGCACTATTTTTGAACTTAATAAAATGTATTGGAGACTATATTTCCAATTTGTTTATGTTCTCATTTTTTTGTGACGACTTGAATTAATGATTTATTGTACAACTGCTAACATTGTTTTGGTCAGTGAATAGTTTATTTTTAGATCCACCAAACTAAATTTGTTTACCTGTTGATAAAGTTGTCCAGAGCTTATACATTTTTGGGATACTTAATAAACATTGCTGATTGGTTTGTATCCACTCATATATCTTTCGAAAGGCAGTTGAAATTTTGTTGCATTCCCAATGAGGTTAGGGGTAAATCTATACGACTGTATGAAAGCTGTTCATTGAATGTACTTGAGTTTGATACACTCATGTAACCATAGTCTAAATTTGTCCAACTGAATAATCAAGAGCATTATGTGAATGATTCATTGAAGGGATCATCGATTGGAAGTGAAGATTGTATGGATAACACAATGAACCGTTTTTGTACATACTTCATAAATAAGTAGCAACCAAATATTTTATTTAAGGTCAATGAAATGATAACTAGCTAATAAAATGAATTGCCTCACCAAGCCTACGTTACGCCACTTAACCTTGAAAATCCTATACATAAGGTCCTGCATATGTGTTAATTACGTGCTTTAGACAGCTTCTGGCTTGACGAAATCTACGGTGGTAGTGATAAGTCTTGCTAATTGAACGCTAGGTTAATTCCCTAAGCTCTTCTAGTAACCCCAGACTAAAACTACACAGAGACTTGAACATGCGAGAAAAGGCGCGAAATGCGTGAGGAACACTACTCCAAAGGTTCGTTTTGTACAGAAAATAGAGGGTTTTTATAGTGTTTTAGATGTCCTTGGGTTTCCCGAAAATTCTGGAATGCTACTAAACATAGTAGCAGTACGGTAATCATCCAATCAGAAACTCGACATGTGACTTTTAACTTTCTTGATGTTTCTGGCAAAACTTCTAGTGAACGCTGATTGGATAAGATGTTTTTCAGTGTTTTCAGAGCCTTTCGTGGCTTTTTTCGAGGAGTTTACTGGATCTCCGTAACAGGTAGTAGGGTCTGTTAAATGTCTCAGGTTATTTCTATATGAAGTTGTCTGGTAATAACGGACTTGCTATGATTGTTCTTTTCACAGTGTTGATTTATATGTTTAACAATTGACCTAGTTCCAATCATCGCTCACTGTCGGACTAAGCCATGTAGTTAAATACAAACTAACTTTATAATCCACGTAATCATTGTAACTAATGGTTAGAGACTTTAAATGACATGGCTCAAAATCTTTTGGAATAGCTCAGGAGCATTTACTTTCTTTGCCTTACCTTAGATCCTAAGTTTTTAAATTCCTTATGATTTCTTTTCTAATATTTCGCTGACTTACATTTTCTCAAGTTTCACCCTTGATGTATAGTCTTTTCTAGTACTATTAATCCTGTTATTACCTCTACTTTCCCGTGATTCGTTCTAACAATTTCATCTCGTTGTGCTAATGAGGTACGGCAACTTAAACTGATGTACACGTGTGCCTGGTTCTACATTACATTTAACTGACTATATTATTACATTGCTGTGTGTATTTGTTATAAATTCAGGAGTCCATTTAGATTTTTAATAGTATAAACTTTTAGTGGCCCTATATCTAACTACACTTAGATCGTATGAATGGTTGTCATCGAAATATACATGTCGCCAATCCTCGTATATAATCATCGACTTAAATCACGTTAGTGGATAACGGAATTAAATAAATCAAATACGAGAATGGATTTCGATTATATATATTTCATACAATCGTTGGTCCAGGCAAACGATCGGAGAAGCGAAGCGAAATGACGCGCGGTGGAGAAGGCATTTAGGCCAACTCAATTTGATTAAGCGTTAATCGTTATTTATAGTCACATGAAAATAAGTTACAGACATGTGATGAATAAGATAAGAAATGTACACACATACGCTCATATAAAAACAGTCAAGGTTGATAAGCGAATAATTAACAAGGTCAAATGTGATTTAAGAAGAATGAATAAATCGACTTGTCTGTAAGCCAGAATAAGATATGTGTGCTTAACATAGCAACCAACACTACAAACTACGGAGATGTACTAAATTATCTACTGTCTAACCTCTTGGGTTTTTCCATCACTTTTCCACCAACTCAGATGTCCCTTTCAACTTGTCCTTAGGATTCAGTACATCTAAATTATTTGTACGAGATGACTGGAAAGTTTTTAACTGGACGATGTGATCGTTAGACTGTGACGAAGTAAATTGTGTTCTATAATTGGAAATCAAAATATAAAGTCCTTCAAACTTAGTAAATAAATATCGTAAGTGAAGTATAGTAACTGATCTAAACCACTTTCGTACTGCAAAAATTTCTAGCCATAGATGAGCCATAGCTTTCGCATGTTGTATAGCGGCTTGAGCACAACGATGATTTATTGAGACAAATTCTTTTATACCTTTGTCCCATAAATAATGTAAAAATGTACCTATGCACAATTGACCTCATAGGACTAATCCATAAATAATCCGTTTAAATGCAAAAAAACTTCTATATATATTGTAAAATGGAATACATTTCGGTAACCAAATTAAAACTTATGAACTAATGGTATTGACCAAATGAACCTCAAAGAAATGAATTTAAACTCTTTGAATCGGTACCCTGGTTAATAACGTATATGTATGTATATATGATACCTCAATGCAAATCTTTCTTGATAGTAATAAACTAGAGTGAATTATTCATTATCAATTTTCCCTTTTCTTATTTACATTGACCACATTTATTAATCATTGGAAAATATGGGTGTGATTATATGTATGGTGGAGCAATTATGGCGTGAAAATACAAAACATTGTATAAGGTCAACTGAATGTATGATTACTATCATTTCTATTGGTAGTAGTAATGGTTATTATTATTATTGTTTGTGTTGATAAATGGGTGTTCCAATTATGCGCGAGTCTATAATTATCCCATACCTATTGGTTTTCAGTGAATATCGAATTCATGAAGAACACTGACTTATATTCTCTTTCATCTTGTTGGTTTGATGCTGTATACCTATTGCCATCGGTGTATTACATAATCGTAAAAGCACACATCAATATGAATATGTATACACGAATAATTATGATCAATACCATAATTCCTATGACTAATCTAAAATCATGAATCTTTATTTATTTTTGTTACCTTTTGTGGTGGTTGCTAGCTGCCCTAATTATACCATTAACATTTTAATGATTCATAAATATATGTATGTATACGTCTGTGGATGTTGTAAAACTAGTATACCTGCTTTCGTCAAGATGATTAGTCAGCTATTCGTTTTGATGAATAATTGGCAAAGCAAAGGATAGTGGTTATGCGAAATTATTCATGGTGCTAATGTTTGATTAATTCATTTGTTTGAATTCTGTTTACATGACTATGGTTAGGTACCATTACTCAATATTATTCGACTTTATTGATGCTACAACATGATTCTGAACAATATCAATAAAATTAGTTTTACCTTTTTAATTAGATTTCTTCGTAGATTTCACAGTTTTAAGGTCATTGTTCATCAGTGTCAGTATCAGTACGAGCCTCATTCACAAACTAGTTATCTGTAAATATTAAGTTTTTGCTTAAATTCCAATACTCACAAGTAATCAAATCATTCGTACTTATATTGAAACATGTTATGTACCACTGCTGATCCAATACGTAAACTTTTAGGCAAAAAATTATCAGGTTGATGAGATTTTTGACAGGGTTACTTCAATTGGTTGCAAGTTATTTGTCTCTCCATTCTTAGTCTTGATTGAAATAGAGTCAATGAAAAACAGACTACAGAATGATGAATGTTTTAAAACTATTTATTCAATTGTTCTGTACCTGTTTAATGTTTATCTAACCTTTTTATCATCGCCACTGTACAGTTCTGATGTTTTGCTTAAAGATTACCTGCTTGGACTATAATGATCGCTTCCAGATTTTATTATTTTTAAGGACTTACACTTTTCCATTGTTAATATTTAAGGCCGAAATAACCAGTCTTAATCGGTATATCAGCTCCTTGAACACGTATTTTTATATTCCATGATTTTTTACTAGATCACTATGTTTCTACATTGTTTTAAGGCAATTGAATTTTGGAAACTGATTAGCCACCTACCATATTCTTACTAACTACTCTGATTTGTCAAATTATCAACAAGATTCAATGAAGTACAAGTTGCTGAATAAACTGAGTATTAATAATAATAATAATAATCTTACATCTACATAATCTTGTCAAGCCATCAAATAATATGTTTATGGAATTTGTCACATTATTAACAAAATTAATTATCGTGCTTCTATAATTTAAGTTCTCATTAATTTAACAGGAAAATATCCACAAACTTTTCCTGAAATTCTAGTTAATCTCAAGAGTCCAAAGAATATGTTAGTAGTTATTGTCATTTTCTACTAACATTTACTATGCTGCCTGTTGAAAAGTTTTATTATTGAAAAGAATAGAAAGTGCTATAATGTTTGATGCATAGATCTGTCTTCTGTGCAGGTATTATGAGAATAAAACGTTAGAAATGAACAAATACAATAAGAAACTCGAAATGTTGAAAGCGATTCTCCGAGTAATGACTTCATGTATATGTCGTATGTATTAAATGATCGGTTTACGGTATTTTTTGGCTTATCCTAACATTAAGCTTTCATTTAATTCCTTAACTGTTGATATATTTCTTACCGCTCGTAAATTACAATTAATTAAATATCAACCTGTTCATCTGGATTGCACCGCAAATGAATTTATTTTGTTCAGTCTGAGATTTCTTAAATTGGTGCATCGCTTTCTTCTGTCTGGTTTGCTTGATCACGTGTTTTTCTAAGTTTCATAAAAGGTACTTCGGCACATCAGTCTATTTTTCTGATGTCCTGGTTAGTAGTTAGGGGACCGACGCTTACATGATCGGGCGTTTACGGTACAAACATTGTGTTATCGGTTTCATAACCAATGTCCATAGAAAAAAAATCATAATAGCAAAAAGTAATTTAGCTACTAAGTACATGGATTCATGTACTCAGCTCTTGTTTACACGTTATATGTGCGAACTTAGTGATACTATCCATCTATCCAAAATTCAAAAAACGGTGTTCAGTTCTTCAACACTATGTCACACAAATTAAAATCACAATATTGCGAAATGGAAGAGAGAAAACCTTATGATCAATGAATAAACATAAATAAATGAAAATAAAGAATTAGTAGAATCTGGTACAAATCTGTAGTCTAGTGGTTAAAAATTTAATGCAAAACAATCTAGCTATGATTCAAGTCATATACTTTATCTTAAAAATAACATAAGTTACCTGCAAATTTGCTTGATAACGTCAATCAGTGGATAGAGGTATTAGGTAACACTACTTGGAATCGTTCACAAGGACACAACTGCATTCACTCTCCATCTTCGCCTAAGTTTTGGATTGCAATGTTATTTTTTCACTTTATTACTGAAATCCATATTTTTGGAAAATCTGTTTTCAAGATCATTGATACTGGACTATTTTGTTATTATTATTAATTTCATTTTTCTGTGCTTATGTGATATGACAATCAGGGATTGTGCACATTTGTATCAGGATGTGTTGATTATGATTGATTTAATAATCAGCCTTTGTTAAGATAATTTACACCATAAGTTGATATTCGTCTTAGTTAGGGGTTCATCAATGGTACGCACCACTATAAAATGTATAGCTGTTCAGTACTCTATGTGGTTTATATTACTTACCTAGTTGGTATCGGTTGATGATAATACATATTTTCAAATTAGGCAAATTACCGCATAAATCACTACATCTGTTCCATAGTAAGTTTCTCCCTTAAATTATGTCGGGGTTTAATTATAAGATCTACCAGTCATTATGATTATATTACATGTGGTAAAAATCTTACGATCATTAATACTACAACTTAATTGTGGTATTTAGCTTCATAGATTAATACTTTTCGCTGAAATCTTTTCAAGGTAAACTTTAGGAATGTGTTTTAAATTATCAGTGTCTATAATTAGAGGTCAATACTAATGCTGTTTTATTTTGGCCAGTAATTTCTTCAATCCACATTTTAAGGTATGTTGGACCTAATTGCATTGTCTGAACTAAAAAAAGCAAAGCCTAACATAGATACAGAGTGAGACAAATGAATTATTCCAAAGTCTCAACAATAATCCAAATTGTTTATTTGTTTGCATAAACTGCAGTCCTTTTTTCACTGTTAATTCCAGTTTTTTAGGCTTGTATTACAGTGGTTTACTGAATAAATTCAATTTTTCATACCTTGTTTTTATTTATGTGTGTAGGCTTTAAATTATGCACGATTGAAAGAGATTGATTTTGAGAGAGCACGAAAAGATTATTCTGCTGCTTTGAACCAATTTAATTTATACCGTCAAGATTATTACTTTCGTTGTTTACCATCATGGGCACAAGTTGGCAAAAGTTTAGAAGTTGAAAGATATGCACGTACCCAATCTTTAATCAATATATTATATGAACGGTTACGAGTGGCAGTTGATCGTATGAACAATGTATGCGATGAATTCAAATCAGTGTGTACACATCTTAATTCAGATCAAGTAAGTATCCATCCTGACAGGATTGCTTTGATATGGCCATTTTTGTAACAAGCTTTTTCGAATGTATGATTTGTTGCCTTTCGCTTCAGATTTCAACGCAGAATCCATTGAGCTACGGAGTCCTGTTATCCCTTTAAGATAAAGATTTTTCTTTCTTGAAGGTACATTTATCTGAAAACAGTGAAGTGAGATGAATTTCTCCGAATAATCGTACAATATAATATTCCTGTGTTTTTATTGTTTTCCGAGTGGTGATTTGTTATAAGTCGAGAAACTTGAAGATGGATAGTTGTTCCTCTCGGTTATTTTCAGCTCCACCGTTTGATGTCCGGTGATTAATATCAGTTTCACTCTGCATTCGGGTACTATGATTCCCTTACAGGATAGCAAAAAAGTAAAGTTGACTGATAAAAGTAGCACTTATGGATCATATGCATTTACAAAACCAGTTAAAAAATTAATGGGCATTTGACTTTTGATTGTTTGGGCAATCCACACATTCTTTTTGGCTGCTCACACACACAACTTAAATTACAAGCTTGGGAAGTCCCATGACTAGACAGAATCAATTATATATGGTGTAATACTAGGTTCAAGAGTTGCGGGAAGCTAGAAAACAAATGTATTTACACCTCTGCAATCGATTTTAGACCAATATCACATAAGGTCTTTAAGCATAAATTGCAGTTGTCTAGCGGAAGAACACTAGGAGATTTGAATCTTCTGACATTCAGATCACTTATGATCGGATTCTTTTTTGTCTGGTTAATTTAGTTATTTTTCTGCTCTTTGTTTTTTGTAGTTGTCTAACACAAAGTCGAATTGATGAACGCTCACTACGTTCACAACAATAATAACAGTATTAGTGATAGTAATAATATTAATATTTGTATCTTAAAGTTTGGTCATGTACTTAATTTTATTTTTAATGCAAACTAGGATTCTAAAGAAATTATAGAATATTTACAAAGTAATAATCCACCGCCTGGGGATATTGCTTTTGTGGATCTATATTCATCTGCAGTGAATAATAGTACTATACCATCAACCGTTAAACAGTCAACATATGCAAAACCACAAAGAACTAATTCAAGTGAACCAATTTATTCATCGGGTAGTGTTGTTCTTCCATCGAATTTTCACTGTTCCGTATGGGCAGCAGATAATGCAGCGTTGGAATCGAGTAAACAATGTGGTGGTAACAATAATAATGATAATAATAATAATTATGTACCATCATCTTTCACTTCCATTGGAGACTCAATCTATGGTGAATCCGGTTCCATATACTCTGCATCTTATGCTTCAACAACATCAACTAATGGTTTACACAATGATGGAGTCGGCGTTGGTAGTAACTGTAGCCGTCGTCCAAGTGTTAGTGATAATCATAGTGCGTCAAATCTACGCAATCCTTCTATGCCTATAAATGGTGCAGGGTTTTTGCGGAGAATTTTTTCACGACGTAGTAGGGTAAGATTACCCATTATATATATAATATTAGTTGTTTTTGTCTCAATGTGTATTTTCTATTCACTTCTGCAAGAACCTTTCTTCAGTAATTGATAACGGATATTTTAAGGTTATTATTGATAGATACATACAATATCTCTCGACTCATACAATTGTCTTGCAGTTCGGAAACAAATTCTGTACGTCTATGATTCGAATAATTAACGTACTTTGATTTATCTTATTCGTTCATTGAAAATAATATTGATCCATCCAGTAAATGTTTCAGATTCATATTTATTATTTAATTTAATGTGATAGATAAGTATTACATCAATCCGAATTATTTTTTGTATAGATGTAAGTGAAATAAGGGTTGTATTCTAGTATTTTCGTAAAGCCATTTGATACTAGGATTATAAATGGGTTGATTATTGTTTTCAATGTTATTCTTTACCTTGAGATTATACCACTTAATCCTACAACTAAGTTGATCACTTAATCGGGAAATAATGCGTATAAGATTTTTGAAACATTAACAACCTAATCTTGTATGTAATCCCGTTGTGTAACATTTGTATTTCAAAGTTCGAGTGCATGGATCTATACTCGATTAGTGAGATCTAGCAACACTCATATTTAGACTTACAACTATGTTTTGTGTTTTTTTTCCTAAACGTAAACTGATTTATTCTAAAGTCAAGCGAGAAGTATAATATTTACAGAATAAAATGAATTCGTTTTAAGGCTGCTCATCACCTACGAACGGCTTATATTTACATTAGTGGTATCATAAATATGTTTTATTACATACCATAATCAATTAAGTTTGGTTCTAAACAACTTGAGAAACAAGAAGAAACAACATATTTAACACAATAGTCACGATCCATTTGCATCTATATGTTGAAAATGAAATCATAAAAAGGCATAATGAAGTTATAAATGGTAATAAAGTGACAATGAATATGAACAGATTGCTGCCGAATGACCAATAATCAAGACACCTATGTAGCATAACATAAATGTTAACGTCTTGTGTGAATATTAGTGAGATATTTTTTGCTTCATGTTATAAACCATAATGAAGAAATAGTGAATATGACAATCTTTAAAATAATTTAACTATCTTGGCAATGGTAGGTCTACCACTTTTTTCTGTATGCAAAGGTCATGTCGAAAGCACTTGATGACAGTGACCTCTGTGAGACGGAGTAAAATTGATGTACGTTGTCTGCTAATTCTTTTGAATCCTTTTTAGACATCCACGTGTTTACCATGCATTAGATGTTTATTGGTCGCACTTGTGAAGAGTTCACTTCCTTTTAGACACAACATACTGGAAATATGTTCCGAAAACATTTAGATTTGACTTCAGAATGGTATTGATTCACTTTCGATTGATTTAAGGAAAATTTGATGCAATACACCATAATTAGTTGGGCTTCAGGAAGCTTATCTTTTGCGCTGTCTTGACCCTTTTATCAATCATGCCTGAAACCTCCTCACCTTTGAATCCAAGACGAATGAAGGAAGGTTTTCCGTTAGTAGTTGCTTGTTTTGGAATTTACGTTATCGTTTTTCCGTACTTCATAATAAATTTCTTTGAACATACATGTTTAAGGCACATGTACTATGCCAATTCTTCCTGTGTATTGTTTGTTGAACATGACATTCGAGCCCTACTAAATAAAGTTTTGACTGAATGTTTTTAACTAACAGGAGAAAACTATCGTAATTTAAGTGTTGATTATCACGTTCATATTCCTTCGTGAATTTGATGTCAACCTGTGTTTTATTTTTCTTGACTAACGCCTACATTATTCAGTTCACTTGTAGTAATTAAATATTCTTCAGTATATAAATCCTTTTCCTAAAAATCCACTTGACGTAGAGTATTATTTTTCAAAGTGAAATATTCTGTGTTTGCCCAGGCGTAGTTACACTGGTGAAATATAGTTTCACAAAGCCTCTTCTCTTTTAATCATCTAGCTGATAAGTGACACATTTGTATTATTATACCTCGATGTATTGAGATTTCATAGTTAAAACTGCAGTGCTTGAACTCCCTCTCAAGTCTAGGAGGTTTAGCAGTTTTCTTTCTATTTCTTATTCTAACTCATTGTCTTCATTTGACTTTCTTTTACCTTTTCGTCTAAATTAAGAATAACTTATTTATTATCCTAATAATAAATCACCTGTAATGATAACATCGTTCATCTCTGTTTTTTGAGCACTGATGAAACCAATCAACTCTCACAATAAAACAGTCACTTACGTCTATAGCAAAAAATTCCACCGTTGAACTATGCTTATTTTTATATCTTTGAATTTATTTTTGTTAGATTTGCCATGTGTCTGTGGTTGAATGACAATTGTCTGTTTCAGCTTTTCAAAAGTTATTTATTCAATTCTTACAAATTCCAACTGAACAGCTGAACTCTCATGTTTAATGCAATATGCTATGGATCTAGGTTTTACCTCATTTGAAGGGATAGGGTGGATGGAAATTAGAACAAAAAGCACTTTAATTTCATTAGTACTGTACATGGTGTTTGCCACACATGGAAATTATTTCAAACATTTGTTAATCACCATAATGAAGTACATCGCTTGTTCATTTGACATTGAATGCATATCATAAATCAGTCTTTATATAGGTGACGGTTTAAATTGTGTATGTTTATGTCGGTACGGCATCCGATGAAAGATGGGATATGCATCTTCGTTTTTTTCTGCCGTAGTGTCTATTTCATGTCAAGCCCACATGAGTCATTCTAGTTTCCGGACAGGTCGATTTATTCATTTTTCTTGATCCACATTTTGGTCTTGTTAATCATTCGCTTGTTAACCTTGAATTTTTATATGAAGACATGTTCGTGCATTGCTTATCCTACCCATTACATGTCTGTAGCTTATTTTTGTCTGACTAAAATATCTAATCTCTTTTGGTCAGATCGAGTTAGCACACATGCCTTCTGCACATCGCTTCGTTCTCCAGCTTATCGTTCTAAATGTCTGTCTGGATAAACGAGTGTTTGTAGTAAATTTATCCAACGCTATCCGTATTTAACATCTTATTACCACAATCACACGAACGGGATTAGTCTAGGTAATATACGGAGTTAAATGGGAGATTTATGTTTATAGCATATACGTTCATTGATCGATGAGTCAGATTAGCGGACTACAAAACTTCATCCTGCATATATGTTTAGTAATTGAACTTAATTGTTTTGTAAGGTGTAGGTATAATCATCCCACTTCAATGTTCAATGAAAGCGTAATGTCTAGCGTTTTTGAACATCTTCCCGTTTTTTTAGTGCCATACAAAAGTATAATTTTCACTGGAGATTTCATTTTCTGTTATTTGAAACTATTCACATTTATCTTTTATGAACACACCACTGTAGCGCATCCCAAATTAACGGATGAAAAAAGTAAATAAAATGAAAGTTGAGGATTCAAATGAAATTTTCAACTTAAATTATTCTCTTATATGCAACACTCATCCTTTAAATGAACGGAAAAATATTCAGAGCTCCTATTCCGTAAAAAGATTGTTTTGAATAAAAAAAATAGTTTGTTTTTGTTTTTGTTGACTGGTGGACAAGTCAAAAATAGGACGCTCTGAATAATAGTTTCATTTTAGTTATCAGCTTTTTCAGCAATGCATACCTCAATCTTATTAAAAAAGCTAAAACATCTACGTCTTCAGCTCTCATGATGACGAAAGATTCTGAAAAATTCTAAATTAGAACGAACCAATGTCCAATACTGCTTAATTTTCATTGTTTTTCCATATGATATCAACCTAATACAAACTACCTCCCTAAAGGGAAATAATTCAGATAAAGTACATACCAAGCATTAAGTTATTCGATTTCACCCTATTCTAAGTAATTCATTCTTTTTTAATGGTAAGATTGTTAATGGAAATTACCAGCTAAGTACAAAACCTTTTTGACGATTCTATCATGTGATCCAAACTGTAATAGATATGACGGGTTCCTAACCCATTGCCGACCAAACGTTACGGTCATCAAGATATAGTTGCACTTCGTCATTAAAATCATTATATGCTCCAAAGCATCTAGAACATTTGGGTTTCAGCCGTTGGGCTTTGAATTAAAACCCTGCTCGACTTCCTTCAATTTGGGCAACTACGTAGTATCAATGGCTGTCACACAAACAGTAGCTCAACGTCGAATACATAGACTCATACATAGTAAATGATATGATCACATAGCAATTTTTCACAGAATAATATTTTACTGATAATTCCTCTTAGTTGTATTGAAAGATTGGTTTTCCAAGTCCTTGGAAAAGTACATAAATACTTTTATAATTTACTACATAATATAATAATACATATATAATTATTTGTACTTCCTTTTTTTGTGATTTTTCTTTGTCTAAACTGTCTGTCGTTTATTGATTGTCATTAAATAATGAATTAATTTACTATTTCACTTAGTGGTATTGATTAACTTGTCTCATAATTCATCCTGTGGTTAACTCTTGTTGTTGTTTTTCTTGTCCTCTCACTCCCCTCTCTCTCGGTATTTAGTAGCGTTTTTTTCTGTTTTAAATGTTCAATGATCCTATAAATAAACTTCGATTTAATTTACTTGGTATTTATGTCTTGTAAAGAATTTTTGGTTTTTGATTTATGATCTGTTAATTTTAACCCTGAAAGTAAATTTGAAAATATGCAGATAGAGAAAGGAAAGAAGAAAAATAAACACAATGAAAGTCTTCTACATCTTCATAATTGTTATCCCGTTTGATAATATCGATATTATTGTTGTAATTGTCATTAATCCTATTGGTATTGTTTTTCTTTTAGCTTTTTTTGTTATAAATGAATGCATTTATATGTACACATTCAAAGTTGTGAATTAAACAACTCACTAGTTTGACGGTTGAACTTCTCTCTGTGAAAACTGAAGGCCCTGGGTTCGATCTCTGATTCGTTTGTGTGCACACATTACTGCTTAGGAGTAGTCACATGCCAGGAA